GGAGTCCCTTTCATTTTTGTTTTGATTGGTAGACAAATTATACTTAAATCTTCATGGGACCAGAAAGCCTTATCTTTCTCCCACAGAACCAAGGGTAGTTTTGAACTGCTGACTGTGAGCTGAGCAACCCGATTTATAACCACAGAGTGTAAATCTTTACCAGAGCAGAAAGCCTCATCTTTCTCTCAATATTCAACATCTTTAACCCTTTCCAAGTTGGGAGTGCTTTCTACAATGTACCATTATCTTTTATGAATAATAATTAAACAGTTCTTTTTTTCAAACCTTCATGAAGTTGTTTCAAGTTTTTTTCCTATGAAATAAAGGATGTCTCCCTAATTTTAAAATGAGTCTTTTCTTGTTATAAAACACTAAGAAAGCAAGCCAAGTCTTCTATAATCTTTCCATATATGCTGAGATAAATGTACCCATGAATAATTTTTAAATAAAGCTAAGTAATATCACATAAGCTATTTAATAACATGCTGTTTCTGTTAATTATATCATGAATTAAATCATTTTCACGCTAATAAAGATCTTTATCATTTTAATCGCTGCCTAGTTTTCTAGTTCATAGTTGCAACTTTAATTGACTTAATATCCTATAATGTATACTTTTGTGGTGCTGCAGGTTAATGAGCTGGACTGCACACAGTTGGTTTGAAGCACCAGGTTGGCGGTTCAAACTCAGCAGCTGTTCCTCAGAAACCCTATACAAGGTCGTTATGGGTTGGAACTGACTTCACGGCACTTAACAACAAAATATGTGTACTTTTAGCTTGTGTTTATTTAGCTATGGTTTACGATAGCTTCTCTTAGAAATATTCTCTGAAGTGAATTCTTGGACCAAACGCTATGCAAATTTAAATGCTTTTATGTATTGGGCAACGGCTACCTTTTGCAGCTGCAGGGTTTAAAGAAATAGACTACAAACATTTCACCTTATTTATCAAATTTCAGAGTTTTGTTATTCATTTCAAAAAGAATAGTCCCTCTGGAATAGAATGTAACCTTTTTTTTTTTTTTTTGCAAACAAAGAGTTTTGCACACTGATGCATTTGTGGGGAATGCCTTATTGGAATAATAGTATTGGCATGCTTTTTTTTATGTTAACTTCACATAATGGAATCTCTCAAATTGGTACAGGAAGTATAATTAATATAAAGCTACATGTTAAGTGTTCACATGACAGCATGTTTGGGAAATAAAGTAAAGAAGATGGCTTGTATGTTTTCAACTTTGCTCATTTCTACAACATTTTGTGAACGGCTCAGAATTGAGAGAGCGCGCCAACAAGGGCACCTTTTAAAATGATATTTTATACAAATTAGCCACTGTGTCGTTGTGAAGGCTCAGTATACTATCTGCAGTCAGGGGAGGTAAATCACGTTCCAAGGGGACCATGAATCAGGCTATTAGAGCCCTTTGCAAATGGCCTCTACCAAACACATTTCTAGATGGAAAAGCATGCCCATTAGAAAGTTCCATGAGAATGAAGAATATGAAATGGCATATGGATTAGGATATAAATCAACAAGACAAAAGAAGCAAAGCCTTATGCTAAGAGAAATTCCAAGTAAAACGCACCAAAATATTATACAAGGTTATCGGTGGTAGTTGGCATGCATTGCTTCTTTTTTGCTGCTCCGTATTTTCCGTCCCCATACAGTTTTAAAATTATCTACATTAGGCACATATTCTTTTTATGGTGATGGTGGTGGTGGTGGCTGTGTGCCATGGAGTCAGAACCGACTCATAGTGACCTTGTAATAGGGTTTCCGAGGCTGTAAATCTTTACGGGAGCAGAAAGCCTCATCTTTCTCCCACAGAACAGCTGGTAGTTTCGAACTGCTGATCTTAAGGTCCGCAGCCAGATTCGTAACCACTACGCTACCAGAGCTCCTTATTCTTTTTGCAGTAATACACAAATTACTTAAGATTTTCATCAGTCTATTCCTATTCCTCTACATACAATCCTGGTGTAGGACTGTGCTGGACTTCAAGGTCAATTGGAAGTGCAAGGACAGCAGTTTGAGCTCATTAGCCACTCCTCGGAAACCCAAGTCACTATGAGTCAGAACCAACTCGAGATAAGATGACAATAAAGGAATTTCCATCAGAAAGCTTTGGTGAACACGGAAACAGCAGCAATGAAGGAAATGAAAAGAAAATCAACAAAATGAGCTCAGTACAGAAATGAACGTAGAAGAAACTAGCAACACCACACACAGACAAAACCCCCAAAGCAAAACGACAACAATCAATTCACACCTATTGATAATGACACTGAATATACAAGGATGAAATGTACCAGGTAAGAGACAGAGAGCAGCAGAATGGATACAAATCTGGTGCGTGCACACAATGGGATAATTCACAACACTGAAGAAGAATAACAAATCTATGAGACAACAGGAACATGGATGAACCTGGAGGACATTCTGCTGAGTGAAATTTGTCACAAAAAAAGGACAAATGTGGTATGAGACCGCCGTTGTCAAACCTTAAGAAAGATAGCTACCAGGGGTGGAAGGTAAGGGAAAATTATTCACAACCTAGAGGGTAGACACATGGTAACAAGGGTGATGGGGCAGGAAATATACAAGAAGAGGCAGGTTGGTGGAGGAAAGATGAAGGAAGCAGGAGATACAGGGAGGTATGCTAGGGTTAAAGCAAACAGAGGTAAATACCATTAACTGATGCTACACAGAGGGGAATGCAATCATTGTAACAACACAAAGTGTATAGTTCATTCCATGTGGGACAGATAAACCGGTTTGGAAAACCGCAACCAACTCAAAAAAAAAAAGTTGGTTTTGTTTTTTTAAAAGGGATTTTCCTAAATCCAGCCGCCAATCATAAATTCTTAAAAATAGCACTGTTAGAAGCCTAGTTTTCTTTTGATCTTTCCAGAGAATTTTTCAGCTGTATCTGCTGAGATTTTCAAACTCAGGTACAAACAACAAGGCTCAAAAACCCAAAGGCCACACAATATTCTTACATTAAAAAAACATACTAATTACTTTCCTTACAGAGACTTATCCAAAGCATTATACAGCCTTCTATTCAGACTTTTGACTTCCAATCCATGTATCGGAAATTATTTTTAGATGACCCAACCACAGGGAGCACAAGCCATTTGCTGTTGACAAACGTGTTTGATCCCTGTGGATGAGTAAGACTAGAGTTGCACTGCAGACCCCAGGAATCAGTTTATGTGATTCTACATAGCCAGGTATGCATCACTCAATGTCCATGAGTGTTGTTCTTAAGTGCTATTGAGTCCGTTCTGACTCATAGCAACCCTGTATGGGGTTTCCAAGGAGAGCAGCTGGTGAGCTTGAACCGCCAACCTTGTGATTCAAACACACCTTGTGGTCCAGTGCTCATCCTACTGCCCCATGCCAAGACAGAGCACCCACAATACATTCTGTAAAACAGGATGCTATGTGATACGGACATTGGACGGTGACCCGCTTCCGGTTGTCTTCATCACAGCTGCTGGAGAAGGCGATGGCTGAGAGAGGGCAGCCGCAGAAACAGAGCAAGAAGATACAAGTAAAGAGAGAGAGGTATCCCACTAGCTCTGCCTGCTGTTCCATCTGCCTGTGCTGCCAGAACAGTCCAGCAGCCCACCCCACAACCAAATCCACCCCCACACACAATGTTGCTGACAAAACCTCAGAGTCCAAACCCAAAGCCACGTCATCCTCGCTTTCATCTACCTGTATCCCACCTATGGTCCAGGGCTGCAAGATCAGAGCTTGAAAATCTTTAAAATCCACTAGTGTTGGGGGAAATACAAGCAGAGCCTTTTTTTTCTTTAAAAAAAAAAAAAAAAACTCTTCTGGGACCACAGCCATATATATATGTGGTAGGACATTGTCCAAGCAGGCATTAAGCGATGCACACCTGCATTTGTTCTGGTCATTTTTTAAATCGAGGCAGTCTGCGGTGATGAACATCGGATGTTAGGGTTGGCTGCAATGGTCTGAATTAGTCAGATTTGCTTGTCCCTAAATGAAGACCAGTGTGAGGAAATGACTGGGCTGGGCTGCAGAGAGACACTGAGTCAGGCTATGATTCCACGTCCCAGGGCAGAATTCATTCCAGAGAGTCTGGCTCACTCTACACTCATATTTCAGCAAAAATCAGTATTTCAGTGACGGGGGAAGGAACCAGTACATCTGAAAAAGGGCAACGCCTAGTTTCACTCAAGCAGGATGTGGGGGTTTGATTCATACCTTCACATGTACATTACTGATGAGAATAGTATGATATTTTCCTGGTACCAATCAAATGGAACATTCTGGGGACCCCCTAGATCTGAATTGTCTAGAGAGATAGTCCTAAACTGTGAACAAAGACGGGAGTGGTTTTCACTTATACTTGGATGCAGACGGAGTTTTCTACCGAGAAGGTACAGAAAATATGCAACAACACCCACGCTCTCCAGAAAAAACATGCAAAACCATTTTCTGGAAACATATATACTTTTGCAGAAAGAAAAAGGCCACATTTTTAAATAAAGAGACAAAATAAATGGTTTGGACCAATGAGGAGACTTGCTTTGAAAGAGAAAATAAACTCCTGGTATTTCTCAGCAAGAAAAAACTTTCTATCCATTTGAAGCTGTTTCTCTTCACATATCCCAGGAATTTCCAAAAGTCAACTATAATGGAGCACTGTTTTTTGACCAGAATAGGAGGTGCTTAAATTCTATCCTTGAAAAATCAGGCTATGAACAAAAAAAAGCAAAGGAGACTTCAGAAACATTAACAAACGCTGCTGAGTTAGTTCTTTCTCAGAGTGGTAACAGTCTTTGCTTCTCATGTGATAATTTTCTGAAGGTGAATCCAGCCTCAAACCCAAACCTGGATTACTAGTGCACAGGTTTTGTTCTGTTTCTCTGAGCACCCACTAAAGTTACATAGCTGTTTATAAAGAAAGCACAGCATCCTTATTTTCTCCCGTCACGCAATAAGCAAGAATTAACTTACTCATTTCTTTCCAGATTGAGAATCAGTTGTTTGCTTTGCAGCTGTAATCGAACACTCAGTAATTCTGGATGATTCTGAAAGACAGAAAAGAGAAGGTCAGTTGGAAGATGTTCGTTTGGAATGTTCTCCATAGGGTCAGGACTAAGGGAAGAAAAGCCATTTTCCTTCTTGAGAACGTTCTGGAAGTCCAAGTACAGAAGACCAGGCCCAGAATTTGGGGGACATGTCTTCCCTCTAAGGTGGCACTGATAAGTCCCACATTCCTGGCCCCCACACTTCTTTCCTTCAGCCACACAGGGATTTTCTATACTCCACCCTCTTCTGTCAACTCAGTTGGCACAAGGACACGCCCACTTCCCCACAAACTCACGTGGGAATTTAGAGCTATCTTTGACTCCTCTTTCTCCACTGCCCCTCCAAAACACAACTCCTTCTCCTTCTGCCCATATCTAACATAACTCTACCTATCACCGTGACTTGGAACTTACTCAATGGCAACCTGTTGCGTTAAGTCCTCATTGTGTACCATTGATTTGGTTCTGATTCATAGTGACCCCATCTGTAACAGCAGACACCCCCAGTCTCACACCATCCTCACAATCGGTGCTGTTTGAGCCTATGTTACAGCTTCTGTATCACTCCATCTAACTGAGGCTCTCCCTCTTTTGCGGTGACCCTGTATTTTACCAAGGACATGCCAGCATAACGTCCTTCTGTACACATTGGTCTCTCCAGATGACATATCCAAAATGTAACTGTTGTTATTGTTAAGTGCCATCCAATCGGTTCTAACCCTGTCTAGGGTTTCCTAGGAGCGGCTGGTCAGCTTGAACCTCCGACCTTGCGGTTCAAATTGACTTTACAGGCCAACGCATTAGCCCACAGTGCCACACCAGAACTTCTAAGTATTTATGTTGTTGTTGTCATTATTGTTAGGTCAGCTGATTCATAGCAACCCTGTGTACAGCAGAACGGAACACTGCTCAGTCCTGTGTCTTCCTCACAAATATGGGTATGTCTGAGACCAATGTTTTTATGTGCACAAGATTTCTTTAAAAATATTCAAGAGAAAAGATGTCAGTTTGAGGACTAAGGTGCACTTGAACCAAGTCATGGTATTTTCAATAACTGCATATGCAAGTAAAGTTGGACAGTGAATAAGGAAGACCATAGAAGAATTGGTGCGTTTGAGTTATGTGTTGGAGGAGAATATTGAAGGTTCCATGGACTTCCCAAAAGAACTAACAGATCTGTGTTGAAAGAAGTACAGCCAGAGTGCTCCTTGGAGGCCAGGATGACCAGACTTTGCTCTCATACTTCAGACATATAATCAGGAGGGACCAGTCCTTGGAGAAGGATTTCATGTTTGGTAAAGTAGAGGGTCAGAGAGAAAGAGGCAGACCCCCAGCAAGATGGATTGGCACAGTGGCAGCATCGATGGGCTCACAAACATAGCAACGATCGTGAGGTTGGCGCAGGACCGGGCAGTGTTTCATTCTGTTGTGCACTGTGTTCCTAGGAGTCGGTACCGTCTTGATGGTACCTAACGACAATGATATATACTTACAGTACTTCAGCTGGAGGATTAATTGACTAACCATATTTACTACAGACTCTGGGTTTGGCACTGTAGGATCAGCACTGGGCTATGAACCACAAGGTCAGCAATTCAAAACCTTCAACTGTTCCTTAGCTACTATGCAGGGTCACTATTAATTCAACAGCACTTAAAAACATCCTTACTGCATTTTACAGTTAAATGCACTGGTAAATTGCAAATATCCAACAGTTCGATAATCAGTTAAAATGAAACAAAAATCACAACTGAAGGTCACTTAAGTTTGGAGCCAATGTTAATACATGCATTAACTAAGGCCATATGTCAGTGGTAGAGGGGGTAATTGTTTACTTTTTTTTAAGGAAGCTCTTAGTACATCATCTTGGTTTTCCATATCCCATACACACATTTGGCTATTTAAATTTAAACTAAAATGAAGTGAAATTCTTTTAATTCACTTTTAATCATGTGATGTTATTGTTAAGTGCTGTCGAGTCGATTCCAACTTATAACTACCTGTATAGGGGTTTCCAAGGAGCGAATGGTAAGCTTAAACCACAGACCTTGTGGTTCAAACTGACCTTGAAGTCCAGCACTTTTAAGCTTCAGTCCCACACCAGGACTCAATCATGTGATACTGCCCACCACCCACTCTGCAGGAGAAAAATGAGACTTTCTGCTCCTACAAAGATTTAAAGTCTCAGAAACCCTATACAGAGTCACTATGAGTCAGAACCAACTGGATAGCAGTTAACCACTAACACCACCACCATGTGGCTAATGGCTACCACTATTGGGCAGTGCAGAGATTGGATGCTTCTGCCTTTGCAGAAACAAACATTGTGCTGCTTTGAATTAGTGATAAATGCAAAAAAACCTGGACAGACTTAAGTGTAAACACTAGTTATTTTTAAATGTGCTCCAAGGAAGAGTGTCTTCTCGATTTTAATTGATGGATTGGAAGTTGTTGTTGTTAGGTGCCATCGAATTGATACTGACCCATAGCGACCTTATGCACAGCAGAACAATACACTGCCCGATCCTGGGCCAACCTCACTACTGTTGCCACGCTTGAGCCCATTGATGCTGTCACTTTGCCAATCCATCTCGCTGGGGTCTTCCTATTTTTCTCTGACCCTCCACGTTACCAAACATGATGTCCTTCTTCAGCGACTGGTCCCTCAGGACAGTATGTTTGAAGTATGAGAGACGAAGTTTGGCCATCCTGGCCTCCAAGGAGCACTCTGGCTACACTTCTTCCAACACAGATCCATTTGCCCACAGCACTTTCAATATTCTCCTCCAACACCATTAACTCAAAAGCATCAATTTTTCCATGGTCTTCCTTATTCACTGTCCAGCTTTTGCATGCATACAAGGTTACTGAAAACACCATGGCTTGGGTGAGGCGCACCTAAATCATTAAGCTGACATCTTTGCTCTTCAACACTTTAAAAAGATCTTGGGCAGATTTTCCCAATGCAATGTGTCGTTTGAGCTCTTGACTGCTGCTTCCATGAGTGTTGATAGTAGATCCAAGCAGAATGAAGTCCTTCACAACTTCAGTCACTTCTCCGTTGATAAGAATGTTATTTATTGGTCCAGTGGTGAGGATTTTTGTTTTCTTTATATTGAGATGCAATCCATACCTAAGGCTGTGCTCTTTGATCTTCATCAGTAAATATTTTAAGTCTTCTTCATTTTCAGCAAGCAAGGTATCATTTGCATTATCGCAGGTTGTTAAAGAATCTTCCTCCAATCCTGCTGCCACGTTTTTCTTCATAGAACCCAGCTTCTCGTATTATTTGCTCAGCATACAGGTTGAAAACTATGGGGAAATAATACAACCCTGTCACACACCTTTCCTAATTTTAAATCATTCAGTATTCCCACGTTCGGTTCGAACAACTGCCTCTTGGTCCAGGTACAGATTCCTCATGAACACAATTAAGTGTTCCGGAATATGCTTACTTCACAATGTTGTCCATAGCTTCTCAATGTTGTCCATAGCTTGTCACAATTGAAAGTCTTTGAGTAGTTAATAAAGCAGAGGTAAACATCTTTCTGATACTCTCTGCTTTCAGCCAAGATCCATAGGATATCAGCAATGATATCCCTCATTCCAGCTTGAACCTCTGGAAGTTCTCTGTCAATGTATGCTTGCAGCTGTTTCTGTATTACTTTTAG